GGGGGTGGCGGCCGTGCAGAGAGCGGCGGCAGCGGCGGTGAGGGGCGGGCAGGGGGAAAGGCTGCTAGCGGCAGTGTAGGGCGTCACAGGATAGCCAGCTGCTTGTTTCATGACCGGCTATCCAGAAACGCTGTTGCATGCCGCAGCATTCCGATTGTCTTGAGGTTGTAAACCCTGAGCCGTGTTGTGGCGGCTGACCGGCGGCTGCGGCGCCGGCGCCCCGGCGAGCGTCATTCTGAGCCGGCTGCGTGCACGCGTGCACCTGGCCTCGTGCCGATTCCCTCAACACCTTCCTCATGTGCATGTCCATAGCGCCCGCGCTGCATTGGTGCGGCCCCAGCTGCAAGCAAACACCTAAATCAGGCTGTCCCCCTTCTCGTGATGAACATGTGCCTGCTAAAAGCGACCAACCTGCCTGGTTTGCACGGCGGGGCTGCGGCTGTAAAGAAGTGTCGCATTGTTACACATGGGGCTGGCGGCTTGTAGCAGCGCCAGGCGCCAGGCGTTGCGCCCCCTTGGCAGCGGTTGCGCAACCGCTGAAAAAGACCAGCAGGTTCTAATCGAGTAACAAACAGCCCCAAGGTGCTGTTGCTGCACCTGGGCGTTGCAAGCAATCAAAGTAGCATGTGAAGTGAGTTTGGTGCACTGAATGTCACAGAGTATTCACGACAGCTGCCCAGTGCAACTGAAATGGGTTTGGACAAGCGCAGGAGAGTCCGCCCCTGGTGCAGGTGGGCCCGCCTGTCCCAGCTGCGGCCGTCGCCGCCGCCGTTGCAGTCGCCGCTGCTACCGCTGCTCCTGCCCCTGCAGCTGCCCGCTGTTGACCGCCTCTGCGTATTCCCTGAACTGCGCCGGCATGACCCCCAGGAATAGATACCACCAGGCCGCCACTGGGGCCGACGCGGCGGCCGCCCACCACGGGGACTTGCCGCTGACGGCCCACGCGGCTGCAACAACGGCGGCGCCGGTCGCGAGGATGGACCAGGGCTGGCACCAGGCGGGCTTGTGGGACCAGACGTCGGGGTCTAGCCGCTGCTGCTGCTGCTGCTGCTGCTGCTGCTGCTGCTGCTGCTGCCAGCCGCTTGGCTCCGACCCCTGCGGGCGGGGGGGTGGGGAGACGTGCATGTTGGCAGAGGCAGGGGCGGGTGCACGCCGGCGCGCCTGCTGTTTCTTGCCTGAAGCTCTGATTTTCAACAGCTACCATCCCACCTGCCGCTCCGTACCGCCGTCTTGGCCCTGATGCGCCCTGCAGCGCCGCGAAGCGGCCACCGTGCGCCATCCAACGGGTGCTAGGACACAGGACCGAGGGCATCGGCTTTGCAGCATGCGCATAGAGAGATTATGATGTCTCAGCATATCCATAAAGTCTAGTGCAGAGCCTTGGAGAGGCGAGTCCAACGATCTGAGTCAGATCAGAGAAATAGTTGTGCATGCAGGCGTGTCTACATTCATTAAAACCAATGTGGTTCGTTCGTAAATCGGTCACCAATCTCTGGGACAATTTCACGGCAATCACCTGGCACCAGGCTCCCGAAAACTGCGGAATCAGCGTCACAGAATTCTGCAATGCTGGGCCTACTGCGTTCGACATCTGCTATCAATAGATGCGCATCCAGCAGTAGCTGTGGCAATAGCAGGAGCGCGGCAATCGGTTCGGCGCGCCCGCTTGCTGCACCGTGGCGGCGACCACCTGGCAGCGACGTAGCCGACCACCGCCGCTGCGTTCGCCGGCCGGCCTTGTATGACCCCGACGCGCCGTGGCCTTCAGAGGATGAATACGAAGAGGAGGAGGAGTACGTGCGGCAATACCCAAACAAGTTGTTCATGCAGGTTGGGGCACGCAGGGGAAGGATGGCCGGCGGGGGCCAGCCCGCCCCTCGCTTTCGCTGTGAACGTAGCGGGGCATCTTTGCTGATGCCATGCCGCCGCTCTCTCCACGAGATGGACCTAAACTTTGAGATACAGTCAAGGCCATCCTCTGACTTGACTTCACACGCCCCACGCAACTCGAGTCCCCGACGCCCCCATCCCCCTGCCTCCCC